TGTTAGTAGCTCTAAAAAGTATTTTTCTTCAAAAAGTATATGGATTAAGTTAAAATTACTTCTTGTTGCTAAAATTACTCTTTTAAAAAATCTCTTTAGAGTACTAGTATTCAGTAATATGAATCCTTAAATTTCTCCTAGAATGCTTATCATAAATGAAATATCAAAATGTATTTATTATTATTATTAGTCCCTTGGGTTCCTAGTGGAACATAGGGCTTCAGTAGCACGCCTCCAGTGACCTCTGTTCTCTGAGATCTTTTGAACCTGATCCCACGACAGCCCAGAAGCTCTCATTTCCTCCTCGCATGACCTCCTCCATGTCACCCTCGGACGTCCAACTCGTCGCTTCCCATCGGGATTCCACTCGAGCAACTGGCCTAGAGCATGATCTCCTCCGTCGGCCTTCTCAGTGCATGGCCAATCCATCTCCACATCTTCCTGCATATTTGTTGCGTGATAGGTTCTTGGTTGGTTCGTTCCCAGAGTTCCTTGTTGCTTATTTTTTCTGGCCATCTGATCTTCAGCAGCGAGCGTAAGCAGTTGTTGATGAATGTCTGTAGTTTATTGGAAATACCTTTCGTGACGCGCCAAGTCTCTGAACCATACAGAAGCACTGACTTGACGTTGGTGTTGAAAATCCGGATCTTGTTCCACATGCTGAGTGCAGAAGATCTCCACACTGGTTTCAGGTTAATGAACGCCTCTCTTGCTTTTCCGATTCTGACTTTGACGTCCTCGTCCGTCCCGCCTGTAGTTGAAACAGTGCTTCCTAGATAAGTGAAGGAGGTTACTTCCTTCAAGTTTCTCCCGTTGACGGTGATTGGAGTTTGTTGTTGTTGTTGATGGTGATGGTGCGGTATCTTCATCACTTCTGTCTTCTCTATATTCACCTGAAGTCCCGTCTTCGCTGCCTCGCTTCTTCTGTCAACTTGTTAGTTTTTGCCTGCAGATCTTCAAGTTTGTGTGACATTAGGCATAAGTCATCGGCGAAATCCAAGTCTTCTAGGTTCTTTTCCGTCGTCCAGCGTATCCCCCTCTTCTCGCTGCCTACTGTTTGCTGCATGATCCAGTCCACCACAATCAGGAATATCATGGGGGATAGTAGGCAACCTTGTTTCACTCCTGTCTTCACTTCAAAGGCATCACTGAGCTTCCCATTGTGGATTACTTGGCATGTGGCATCTTCATATAGTTGTTGAATGAGGCGGATAAAGGTTTGCGGTACTCCGTAGTATTGAAGCAGTTTCCAAATTACTTCTCGGTCGACGCTGTCAAAGGCCTTCTCAAAGTCGATGAAGTTGAGGTGGAGAGGTGATTGCCATTCTACGCTCTGTTCTATGATGATACGAAGCGTTGCAATTTGGTCAGCACATGATTTGTACTTCCTGAAGCCTGCCTGTTCCGGTCGCAGTTTTGAATCCAGTGCGTCTTTAAGCCTCTCCAGGATGATGCGGCTTAATATTTTACTTGGGGTGGATAGGAGAGTGATTCCGCGCCAGTTCTTGCAAGCACTGAGGTCTCCCTTCTTCGGCAGTTTGGCAAGGTAACCCTTCTTCCAATCGTCAGGTACCTTCTCTTCCCTCCACACCTTCTGCAATAGTGATGTGAGCATCAAAATGTATATAAGGATAAAAAAGTTAAATGTTATGCGCTGTCATAATGAGTTCATTCAAACTGATAAAAATTTCATGCTACCATCTTATCCTGCGTTCATTTTGGAGTTCATAAATACCTTAGAATTTTAATGCAAACATTAAAGGTCATTTCACATTGCCAGGCGTATATTTTCCAATAAATTTTGGGAAACAGTATTTAGAACACAAGAAGTATATCACTATAGCCAGCTACCAAGAGAATTCTATGACATGAGGGTAATGATATTAAAGTAATCACATAACTTGCGAAATTTGTTGCCTTAATCCATTAGTTCTTTGTTCTTTCAATTTAATATTCCAAACATCTTAAATATGTGATGATTGATTCCTGCCATATGATGGCAATAAAGTGTAATTTAAACGCACAAACTCATCCACAGAAAACCTCTGTAGGTTAAACAATCCAACGGATCCAATTGCACAAAGTAACATTATACCAGATACTATGTGATGATTTTATATTAGCCGACTGATGTCACTCTAGATAGTGGAGCACAAACATTTCGCGAAAAATAGAATCATGAACCTTATTGAAGAAAGAAATTTGGAGAAAATAAGTTTAGAACTTGGACACCGTGGTAAAATGTAATTTCTTTATTAGATTTGTTTATTTGATATAGCACACAAATATGCAGTATTTTTTACCCGTTAACGTTTCTAGCATAATTTATCAGCCCTAATCATATCAATGTCAACATCGTTTTCGACATCTATTTTTGATAGCTTTATCACCCCCATATTCTTTGATTTTAGTAGTAGTGAAATTTTCGGTATCCATGTTATGGACGTTGCATCGCTCCTGATGCATGTGTTTTGTGTTGACTTGATGAATAAATATTCTGTAATCAATCTCTCTCCCCACTTAACTACATTTAACTTGAATACAGTGGTTTTCTCCCACCCTTTTTTAATGCTGTGTGCTAATGTGTGCAGTGGCCGAGTGGCTTTCTAGATTACCGCTCACACTGGGGTCTGTCATTCCATATTTAGCTACATTCCACTGTTCCGCTAATCTAAGTGACCCCGAACGGTTAGTTGGACATCTACTTGATTTCATCGTCATTGCATGAGACTTGGTGAATTGAATTTCAGTTATTTGGATCTGTCGTATTCTTAAGCCGATAAAGCGTATCTCTGAGTGGATTGGCGAATATAAATGCCACCTTAATTTCAGCTTTATTGTGAATCGTGTGTATTTTTCTTGTTGTTCCTTCTTTTTAATGTAACACTATGGAACCATTGAACTCCTCTCTACTTGTATTGTCGCAATTATTCATGTTCGTATTATTATTATTATTTTGTTCGTTGTCTCTTCGTACGCGTTTTTTAATAAACTGTAGACGATAATTATTAATTCATAAGGATCCTTTTATGTTTTTCCATTTTTTCGTTTAAGTCCTTGGATTGAATAGTGAGTATTCTAGCTATATTATTAAGATATGTAACTAAACACAGTTTAGCTGACATTGGATGAGATAGCCCGAATAGTAATAATAATAACAATAACTATATCCACTTTATTCCAAACAATTGTGGTACAATTTGGAATTCGCAGCATGAAATATTGCAACAGTAACAAAATATATGCATGTTTATACTCCTATACAACATTTCGAATTGTATTATTATAAAAAATTAAGTAATGTAAAGAATATTAATGAGGAGAAAATTTTTACATTGTTAGTTAAACTATTGAAGTGAGATTGTTGACTGTTACAAAGTTGACAAGCGAGTTCTGTTGTAACGCTTGTTTATTATTATTATTATTATTATTATTATTATTATTAGTCCCTTGGGTTCCTAGTGGAACATAGGGCTTCAGTAGCACGCCTCCAGTGACCTCTGTTCTCTGAGATCTTTTGAACCTGATCCCACGACAGCCCAGAAGCTCTCATTTCCTCCTCGCATGACCTCCTCCATGTCACCCTCGGACGTCCAACTCGTCGCTTCCCATCGGGATTCCACTCGAGCAACTGGCCTAGAGCATGATCTCCTCCGTCGGCCTTCTCAGTGCATGGCCAATCCATCTCCACATCTTCCTGCATATTTGTTGCGTGATAGGTTCTTGGTTGGTTCGTTCCCAGAGTTCCTTGTTGCTTATTTTTTCTGGCCATCTGATCTTCAGCAGCGAGCGTAAGCAGTTGTTGATGAATGTCTGTAGTTTATTGGAAATACCTTTCGTGACGCGCCAAGTCTCTGAACCATACAGAAGCACTGACTTGACGTTGGTGTTGAAAATCCGGATCTTGTTCCACATGCTGAGTGCAGAAGATCTCCACACTGGTTTCAGGTTAATGAACGCCTCTCTTGCTTTTCCGATTCTGACTTTGACGTCCTCGTCCGTCCCGCCTGTAGTTGAAACAGTGCTTCCTAGATAAGTGAAGGAGGTTACTTCCTTCAAGTTTCTCCCGTTGACGGTGATTGGAGTTTGTTGTTGTTGTTGATGGTGATGGTGCGGTATCTTCATCACTTCTGTCTTCTCTATATTCACCTGAAGTCCCGTCTTCGCTGCCTCGCTTCTTCTGTCAACTTGTTAGTTTTTGCCTGCAGATCTTCAAGTTTGTGTGACATTAGGCATAAGTCATCGGCGAAATCCAAGTCTTCTAGGTTCTTTTCCGTCGTCCAGCGTATCCCCCTCTTCTCGCTGCCTACTGTTTGCTGCATGATCCAGTCCACCACAATCAGGAATATCATGGGGGATAGTAGGCAACCTTGTTTCACTCCTGTCTTCACTTCAAAGGCATCACTGAGCTTCCCATTGTGGATTACTTGGCATGTGGCATCTTCATATAGTTGTTGAATGAGGCGGATAAAGGTTTGCGGTACTCCGTAGTATTGAAGCAGTTTCCAAATTACTTCTCGGTCGACGCTGTCAAAGGCCTTCTCAAAGTCGATGAAGTTGAGGTGGAGAGGTGATTGCCATTCTACGCTCTGTTCTATGATGATACGAAGCGTTGCAATTTGGTCAGCACATGATTTGTACTTCCTGAAGCCTGCCTGTTCCGGTCGCAGTTTTGAATCCAGTGCGTCTTTAAGCCTCTCCAGGATGATGCGGCTTAATATTTTACTTGGGGTGGATAGGAGAGTGATTCCGCGCCAGTTCTTGCAAACACTGAGGTCTCCCTTCTTCAGCAGTTTGACGAGGTAACCCTTCTTCCAATCAATGGCCAGGTACCTTCTCTTCCTTCCACACCTTCTGCAATAGTGGTGTGAGCATGTCCGCTGTTGTCTCTGCATCTGTTTTCAGTGCTTCTGGCGGTATTCCATCTGGTCCTGCTGCTTTCCCGCATTTCAGTAGCTTTATGGCGTTCAGGACTTCCATTTTCGTTGGGGGATTAATGTTCACTTGTATTTCAGCGGCTGTAGGTGGTATTTCTGGACGAAGTGCAGGTGGTGGTCGATTCAAGAGCTTCTTGAAGTGGTCGGCCCATCGTTTCCTTTGTTTCTCTTCTTTTGTAATTAAATTTCCTTCTTCATCTTTTATTGGTTTCATCTGTGTTGGTCTCTTCCCTGATAGCAACCTGGTTATTTGATACAATGTCGTCAGGTCTCTATCTCTCCTACCTGCAGCCTGTTATGCTTCACTTGCCAGTGTTTCGTAGAAGTGTCTTTTGTCTTTGCGTGCACTCTTCTTCACTTCTTTGTCCAGTGTAGTGTTTTATACATTGTGCTCAGTTCCTCTTGTCGTTGAGCATCCTTGCACTGGTTTCTCTTCTGCTTCACCATCCTCCTCTCCTCTATCAGCTTCCAGGTATCCGTCGAGATCCATTCCTTGTCTTCTTTCTTCTTCCTTCCTAATACTGTTGTGCAGGTTTCTTTCCACATAGCTTTCAAAGACTTCCAGTGTTCTTCCACACAGGTTTCTTCAGGGATGTTGCTCGATGTCTCCCATTTTGTCTTGATGGCTGCCTTGAAGATCTCCTTTGTAGTTTCATCCTTCAGTTTCCGAGTGTTGTACTTGAATTGAGGTCTATCACCAGCTTCCTTGAAGGCTTTTAACTTGATTTGGAAGGTTCCTTGCACTAGGTAGTGGTCCGAACCTACATCTGCTCCTCTTCTTGACCTTGTGTTAAGTTGACTGCGTCTCCATTTTCTTGAGATTGAGATAAAGTCGATTTGATTTTTAGTGTAGTGTGTCCTGGTGTCTGGTGAAATCCATGTCGCTTTGTGGATATCTTGTGCCTGAACACACTGCCTCCAATCACCAAATCGTTGAAGGCACAGAATTCTGCAAACAATTCTCCATTCTCATTCATTTCACCTAGTGCCTCTCGACCCATGGTTAGTTCTCTTCCCGTGTTGTCCCCTCCCAGTTTCGCATTCATGTCGCCCATCAGAATTTTGATATCGCCAACTGACGTCTTGTCCAGTGTTGACTGAAGTTGTCTGTAGAAATCCTCCTTTTTCTCTTGCTCTGCATTATTTGTAGGTGCATAACATTGTATGATTGTGACCTTCCTTCCTTTTGAGTTGAATCCATCTTGCTGTCATGATCCTGGAGGAGATTGGTTCCCACTGCATGAGAGAGCCTTCGATGCTCTTGAGGACATCATGATAGCCACTCCATAACTCAGTGTGCTCGTGGTTGGCGTCTGGGTGACCGGAGTAGAATATTGATTCTCCAGTTGACAGTTTGGAGAGTCCACTCCCATTCCATCTGCTTTCGCAAATCCCAAGCACTTCGATGTGATACCTTCTCATCTCCCTTGCAATCTGGGCTGCCTTACTGGGTTCAAACATCGTGCGGACATTCCATGTCCCCACGTTTACTTTCGCTTTCATCGAGAGAAGACACATCGGCCAATTAGCTTCCCGAAGGCTTTCACCAACTGGCGTCATTTCGTCTCTGCAATTCCAGGGAGGAATAAGTTTGTTTTCATTTTTTATATTTTGTTTGTGCTAGCCCTATGCCCAACCTTCCCTCTTTACCCGGGCTTAGGACCGGCTAGTAACTAGTAAACTAGTTAACCAGGAGAGGTTGTAACGCTTGTTTACTCACATAATATTCGTTCTAGGTAACATATAACCAAATCCTTGTACTTGGCTGAACAAGCGTTCAGTTTTATGTAGTTTCTTCTTGTCCCCCCTGGGGAGATATAAGGAGAAAGCTGTGAATGAAGTGGATGCTTAGTGTCATTTAAAATTACCGTAGTTAGATGCTTGCTAGAATTTAAACGTCTGGCAACTACAGTGTTAAACAGTTGGACCAGAGGCACACCACTCACGCTACTGACGGCTTTCAAAGCTCTACACAATATAACATAGTTCTTTTATAGTAGACCAGGAAAGATCAGCGGGGAACAATAGAGAAGAATGGGCAAAATGCAGGAATTACTAAATTGTAAGAGTAGATATTGAGCTCTGTCAGAGAGCCTCAGTTTCTTTATAAGTTAAACGAAAAACGTTTTTACAAGTCAACAAGATAGACAACCAAAAGAGGTCAGAAGTAATACTCAATCCAAGTTAGTTAACATTCGTCTTACTTTCTGCAAAAATGACACCAATGCCACGGGTGTCATGACATTTAAGCAGCTCACATAAGTCTTCTTTACGTCTAAGGCTAAAATGAAGTCTAACATTTAGAAGGGTTTAACTTGAGACCATTTGAGAGTGACCACTGATTAATTACGGACAAGAACCTATTTAATTAAGAGCAAACTAAGTGAGAGTTCACTGAAATAGACACCGTCAGGTCATCAGCATACTTAATAAGATTCGTTTCAGCAGAATAAGGTGAATCGTGCAAAAAGAAAGAAAACCGAAAGGGAGAAAGTACAGCACCTTGAGACATACCATCTTCAGTAAGCAACGAAGTCGAATGTTTCCCGTTACAGACAGTATACTGTTTCCTGTGAGAAAAGTATTAATACAGCCACTTCGCAACCCATGGCTACTCATGAGCTATGTCAATCTTATTTAACAAGAGTGGTCTAGGAACAGTGCCAAAGGCTGATGAGTGATCCAAAAAAGTGTAGCAAACATACCTAACACCTTTGTCTAGATTAGAAACAATATTACAGTGCAAGACATTGACAGCGTCCAAAGGCTTCTCTTGTGTTTGTAAGCGATTTTTCTCGGATCTCTGAAGGCTTAAGAAGAAAGAGAAATAATTTCTCCATTATCTTCAAAAAAGGAAGTCATTGCAGTTGGTCGAAACGTAATATCTGATTCAGAAGATGACTTAAGCAGAAGTATAACTTTGATTTCTTTCAAGCAGAGGGTACTGTGTTCTTAGAAAACTATGCATTGAAGATATCCGTAAGGGGATGACATAAAACATCTGCACATTTTCTGAATATAACACTCCAAACACCTTCAGAAACTAGGCTTTCAGATGGATTCAAGGATTTGAGACATTTTAATACATCATCTGTGTTAAAACCAGGAAAGCAACTATCCATTTGGCTATGGACATTGGGACGGATGAAATCAGCTCGCTGCCGTATGAATGATTTGTTTAATGCCCGGACATCCGAACAAACTTCTTTTTCGATCTGTTTTATACCAGTAAGCTCTTCAAGTGACTTCCATATATTGGAAGAGTTTTTACACGATAGAAACTTTTGGTTGTAAATAGTATTCAAACATTGTATTTCAGACCTATTTAGGCAGTTGTCTTTTAATACCAGAGTGATATCTCGTCTTATACAACCTTTTCTTTGGTCTACGGAGCCTTTTGAGATAAGGAGAGGAAAATCGGTCAAATCTCACGTGGATTGTTTCAGCAGGGCAGCTTATGTGGAGGCAGAATCTAAGATAGCTTGTGATATTGGTGATAGTGTTTTCTAAAGCTTCATCAGCAAGTTCAGTCCAGTCTATTTCTTTACTCATGCCTCTCAGACGAAGTATTTTCTCCTGTGAATAAGATCTATACTGGGGTGTCTTGGAAAGATATCCAAACACCATTCTGTGTAATCTGTCGTACGCTTCAGGCAAAACACAATACAGCTGCTAGAATTCAGTAGCGAAGCCTGTTTACGTGCTTCATATATGCCAGGGTCATTTGTAAAATTAAATCCAGGGTGTCATCAAGATGAGTAGAAAAGCAAACTATATTTTTGTGACCCAATAATACAAGAAAACTGCAATCATACGAGTTAAAATCTTCATAGACTATAGACAAGGAGTTACTCAGAATCGGAACAGCAAATTCAGTGACTTCATAAGCAAAAGTTGACCAGTCTGAGAAACTGCAGTCAGGTGTGATATAAACGTTTGTTATATATATATATACGTACTTACTCAAATGCTTCGGACGACAATTAATGGTAATACACTCAATTTTTTCGTTAAAGAAGATGAAGCATACATAGCCGGAGGTGGACCAGTTCGTAATGATAAGCGTTGCTATACCCCCGCCAAACTTCTTCTTGCAAAAGCTTCCATCTTATCAAAATAATTTGAAAGCGTTTAAGCAGGCTAGATCGTTATCATACAGGTTATGAAGGCATGTTTCCTGCAGCATTAAAATGCCCGCATTCCGATAAGCATTTGTGGACTACATTGACTGAAGATAATCAACTTTATTCGGTAACGACCTACAGTTTGTGCTAAGGATTTCCGGAATAGTCATTTGGTCTATAGTGATAAGTCTGAAAGCCCGCAGTTATCATGTTGCTTCTTCTTAGTTTTTCAGTCAGCTTGAAAGTGATAGGTTGTAATGATTTTAAAAACGTGTGAGAGTGTATACTACGATTGTATGACATAACGGTTAAAACAATATAGAAAGGAGAAATGTGATGTGGTGTATTCCGTGATAAAATGAGGTACCCTGAAGTTTAAGTAGGCCACACGTACTTCTTCAACAGATACCTATTGGAATGTGTCAGTTTCCTGTAGATAATGCAGTCTAAACCATTGTGTGCTCTTCATTTTACTCTGCAATCCAACATAGCTAATTTTCCATGTTCGTTTTTTAACTCGTGAATGGATTGGATTGAGCTCACTACTGAGTTTAAAACTGACTGGTAACAGGGGTAGTAATAGCTTTGGTAAATAACAAAGCGCCAATGTGTATTATATCAAAAGGATAATGTAGTATGGAATAATGATGGACCACGATGCTCAAGTTTTAATTTTACGTCATCGAAATTAACACCTTTGAAATTTTTCAATGAACAACCAAATAGACATTACTGAGACTAAGCGTATATACTTCAGTAAAAGATAGTTAAAGTGAGGCAGATTGTGCTCTAAGTAAACCATTTGAACTAACTATACTTTAGTTTCCTCTTTGACTACTTTATTAAGTCTTTTACCGATGGTTATGTCACTTTAAGTTACTGATGCAACAATTTGACCTCGTTATTTTCATCCGAACCCGAAGTATTTTTCAAATGTCTGGCCAGCGAAAGTGTTTTACATCATCAACATTCAGTTACTTTTAAATTAAGTGTGTATTGCCAAAGAAACAAGCTAAAACTCAGGGAAAGCATAATGATATTGTTGAACTTTTGGACAATAACAACATCCGAAGCCTCATGCATAATTTAT